ATTACTAGCTAGGTGTACCTAATAAAGTGGGTCCTATCCGGCACTAGCTAGGTGTACCTAATAAAGTGGGTCCTACCCATTACTAGCTAGGTGTACCTAATAAAGTGGGTCCTATCCGGCACTAGCTAGGTGTCCCTAATGCAGTGGGTCCTACCCGGTACTAGCTAGGTGTACCTAATAAAGTGGGTCCTACTCAGTACTAGCTAGGTGAACCTAATAAAGTTGCCATATTTGCATGCACACTCACACTAAATACACACATCTAAACACACTCATGCATACATATAGCATCATGAGGTGCAGGATGGAAACATCTCCATAATGCAGGGCAGTTCTCCTCATGCCTTGAAGGTCTAAGAAGCATTTTAATGTGGTCAGTGGATTAGGATGCATATTGCTGTATTCCAGACCGGATTGCTTCAGAAAATCATCTTAACAGTCTCCAAACAGCTGCGGAGCTCATTAAACACGAGAGGGTTACAAGACATCTAAACGACCTGCCTTAACTGACAGGCATGGATAGCGGGCTAACTCCAGCTTAACAAAGCTCATGGGGGTGGGGGTTGGGACAGTATATCATGTCTGGGCACATAGGTCCGTTATTTTCTGCCTGACAAGATCAGGCATGACATTATGCAGAGCAGTGGTTGGAGTGGAGACGTCCGCCTGCACGTCAGCGAGCCCACGGCGCCCACACTCGCGTCGCCCAGCAACCACCGCTACTGCCGAGAGACGCTTGAAAGGGGACGTACGCTCTGGTGCTGAGATACCCAGACAGGGACCAACTTAAGGCTTATATGTGGCCCGCTTTGATCAGGAAGAGAAGAATTGGGCAGAATCTGTGGCGACCCTAGCATCTGTCAGCATTCGGGGCGCTAAAACAATCAGCCGCTCAGCGAAACAAAGTCAATCTATCATGAAAGGAGTCTTCTGTAGCTGGAAGCCGTTGTCAGACTTCATTATCGGCAAGGCTGACAGCGTATTTTTTAAGCTAGATAATAGGCTGCGATTTATATTAAGCCACATTCTATGTGCTAAAACTTTTTTTAATTTTCAAAATCAGTCATGTAGCAACACAAACCCAAGCCACTTGTTTTATTTTTAAATATGTTTCATTAAAGCTATGTATATATGTATGTGTTTACACACAAATTACTCTGAAACAATGGGCAGTGACCTTTCAAACATGGCCGCCCATATCGGGTCATGAGCGCGGGCAGCCATGACAGGAGCGATCAGTCAGTGTGGTTCAATCACTCAGCGTGAGGCAGCAAGTCCTCTCCCCGACCGCCAGGCCCCGGCGTCCTCCGTCCGTGCTCCAATCACCGGGCACCTGCCCGCCGTCAGTGGTGGTGCGGGGGCCTGTCAGAGCACACCACAGGTGCTCCAATAAGCCGCAGGGGTTGTTTTTAATTAGCCCAGCTGCGAGTGCTGCCCCTCCGATTCCAGCACGCCGATGCTGCCCTTTTGTATCATGCAGGTGTCTCCGTTCGTCATGCCGGAAATGCCGATGCTTCCGAGACAGGAAAAGAAAAAGCCATTCCAGTGCCCCCCCCCCCCCCCGTGTGGATGAGTTGTTTTAAATGCTGGGGTGTGATTAAATGTAGATGCTTTAGTTTTTTGAGCGCATGTTCGGAGCAACCTCTCTTTTACAGGCAACCTGCACCTCGCTCTGGATGAATTTATCTTGAGCCCATGGGGTGGGGTGGGGGGCCTTAAGACCTCGTTCCGCTCCTTGCCGGCTAGAACAGTGCCACTGGTGTCTGACAAACAGGGAAACCCCCCAGGGCTGCCGGGGTTCTCGGGTGAATTTTTAAGTTCAGTAACATCCGCCCCCCCCCCCCCCCATGCCTTAAATGCCCCACATTCATGCCAAAGTGTGTTTTTTAGGAGAAACCGTGGCAGGTTGGTGAGAGAAGAATACCAAACACTGTAGCTCAAAAGCTTTCCCATTTTGAGATGTGGGTGGAGGGATTCCTGGGGGCATGGTCCTTCTGTGCTCCTCCGCCTTTGTACGATCTAAGTGTTCCTATGTGTCTGTGTTTTCTCTCTTTTAGATTCATCCGCGGACCTAACAAAGAGCTCGCTCGCAGACGATGAACACCGATTCAGCTGTTAAACGGGAAAAAAACACCATTCCAACGAGGGAGACCTGACAAGATTATTTGGCTCATTGACTTACCCGAAAAGAGGATATTGCTCACGGTAGAGCAGCGGATCTGGGTTTGGCTCTAAAGATTTCACATCTTGCTGACTGATCCTTCCTGACAAACTGGCCCATCACCGGGGACTATTCCACAACTGTTGCCTCTCGATCTCTGCGTGTGCTTCTTCACCTCTTTCGACTAACAAAGCTTTACCAGGACTAGGTAGAAATTGTACAGGCTTATCCCAAACACCTACCCATGCCACCCCAACTCATCCTGGGTAAGTGGGATGGCCCAGGCAGTGATGTCTCTCACCTTTCAATCGGGGAATTCCAAAGGATCCCCAACGACCCTTAAAGAAAGCTGATAGATGGTGTACATGAAACTGGCAAGGTAATCTGCCATTTCCCCGCTTCCAGGCCTGAGACTCAGCAGGCCAGCTTTCCTGGACTCACAGAGGACTCTGGACTCCTGGCAGCTCCACTGCCCACCACTGGGGAGAGCAGCGAGTCTCGGGGCCATGCGGGAGGCAGCTGGGGGGCGTGCCAGCACACCGACCCCCACCCTGTCAGCTTGCACCGCCCGTCTCATTCGAGCTGTCTTTATATTAACAAACTCTGTATATAAACACTGGAAAGTTCTTACGGTGACACGGCTCGCCGGGACGCCCAATCAGACGGTCCTCGGTGACACAGTAACCTGTGACATATTAG